CTCCCACACCTCCGATGCTGGCTCCATCTCGTCCTTGTCAAAAGATGAAGTGTCTGAGTCCCAGGGACACCACCTCCTGTGTCACATGGCTCTTGGGGTTGGTAGTTCAAGTTCCAAGCCACAAAAATCCCACAGCAGAGGGGGAGACCTAGGAACTTGCATGCCTGTCCTTTGTCAGCAAAATTGAGCTCAGCAACAAGCTGGGTTCAGTGGGAGCAGCCTGGGCAGGACTCGCAGCGGCGGGGGCTGGGACGCTGACTGCAGATTGAGAAGCCTGAGACCGGGGACGTGGGTCAGGGGACCTAGGTCAGGGGCCTCCAGGCACCGGGTGCCAGGCGCCAGGCGGGAGGGTTCTCTCTGCGGGATGCAGAGCTGCTTCCGGCAGTTCTTTCTCCTACTTCTTTTCCTGGCACGTCTTTTTGCTGAAAAAATTGACCAGGTTGCAGAATTTCTCACTCCTCTGCTAAGAAAAATCCCTCCTTCCGGCCGGCCCCCAGCAGAGCTCAGCAAGCGGGGCAGAGGCGCTTTCACGGCCCGAGCCGCCCGCCCTCACTCTGCTCCAGCCCCATTTGTGTCCTCTGCCTGAAAGGAGCCTTTTGCTTGGTGTGCCAGGGTTTGCCGGGGCCCGGGAGCACCCAGGGCTGTGGCTGCATTGTTTCTGAGTCCCATGTGGCGCCTCAGAAATGCCTGCTTATGTTCGAGTGAGGGGAGGCGAGACACATGGGTGCCAAGAGACGGCTTCACATTGGGGGTCTCATCTCTTGGCTCCACCCAGACCTGGGTTCCTCCTTCAGCTGGCTCTGTGGCCTTTGGAGAGTTACCAAACCTCTCTGAGCAGTCTTTCCCTCCACTGTAAAATGGGGCTGGTGACTGTAGCCAGCTGAGAGGGGGCTGACGGCAGGTGGTATCAGCTAGAACCTCCAAAGCCCTTGACACAGCTTCCTGGCGTCAGGAGGTCCTCCAAGGCTTTGCGCCAACCCTTTTGTTTCGTTCATGATTGTTGATTCTGCCACGGTTTAACTTCATAACTTAACCATGTCAGGACCAGCCCGTGCCTTCAAGGAGCACACAAGTTGCAAGAGACCCGGGTGCTGGACAAGTGCGAATGAAGGCGCGCGGCTGGATGGCAAATGCAGAGACATTTTTCCCCGAGCGCACCCCACGAAGTAAACGCCACGTGACGAGATGTCACGCGGAGAAGGTTTCACAGCGAAATAGGTTTGGAAGTGCTGGTGTATGAATATGACGGCAGAACCAAGAAAGGGGCCCGGTTCTGAGAGCCTGGGAATCATGAAGTCAGTGACCATGATTATTTGGATGACTTGATACGCACCTGCCGCAGGGGTACGTGTCCGACGCGGGTTATCTCATTTTACGGAACTCAGGAGTCTGGACGGGCCATTCCTTGTAACCGTTCTTCCGTTGAGAGGCGTTGAGGTTGTTCCTCACTTGATTTTGATGGACTGAAGTTTGGTCCTTTCACTTCAAGAGGGGCTTCTCAGTACAGTGGAATATTATTCAGCCTTGAAAAGGAATGGGATTCTGACACACGCTACAGTAGTGGATGAAACTTGAGGACATTACGCTAAGTGAACTAAGCCAGTCAGAGAAGGACAAATACCATCCCGTTCCATTCCTAAGAGGTATTTCGAGTAGTGAATTTGCAGAGATAGAAAGTAGGCCGGTTGGTTGCCTCGGGTGGCAGGAGGGGAAGAAGGAGAGTAGTTGTTTAATGGGGAAGGAGTTTCAGTTCTGCAAGATGAAAAGGCTTCTGGAGGTTGTTTACACAGCAGTGCGAATGTACCTAACACTATTGAGTTATACATTTAGAGATGGTTAAAGTGGTACTTTTTGATGTTATGTTATTTTAATCATAATAAAACATAAATACCATTTTGACAAAGAAGTCATATGAGAATTAAAATTCAGGAATCACGGGGTACGAGGTACCTCAGGTGTGGCGAGCGTGTGAATAATACACATGCTTACACACTTAATTATATGAACCAGCGTTTGAGATGCGAAAATAAATTGGAGTTCTATTGTACTTTTCTTTTTTTAAAAGAGGTGCCTCTTGTGGAGGCTTTGCCAGTTGCTGGGCAGAAAAACTGTACTTTGGACTTCAAAACGGTTGCTTGCATTCCGTTTTGAGGCTTGAGTGAGCATGTGCTGATGTCTCCAAAATTTGTTTTTTTAGAAAGTGTTCATACTTGAGCTGTTTGTTTTATAACAGCATGCGTCTGGGTGATGGCTGTGACGACTGTAAGTGGGAGCCAAGGCACTGGGAGGGAGGGGCGGTACCGATCTAGGATGAGCGATTGGCATTTAGGCCAACTCCCTCATCTTACAGACCGCGAGAGCAAAAGTTGTGTAATCCATGCTCGATGCCCTCTTTAGGAAATCTTTATCTTTTAGACCCTTGGTTTAAAAAAATACATTGATTTGAACAGAATTTTCCTCATTTTCAGTAGAGTAATGGCATTTTGCAAAAGAAGAAAGTATTTCCAACTCCTGCGTAATGATCATATAGAATGCACCTACGTACAGATTAAGGAAGGTCTGATGAGGAGGGGTCAGTCCGCTAATGGGTTTTAAAACCTTTTGAAGTCCATGTTCCTGGTCCCCCGTCCCTCCATGCAAGGCATCTCTCTGTGTTGATAAACTCATACCTGCTCTGACACTTTTCGCAGCTTCCTCTGTGGCTGCCCCATATCTGACACGATCCTGTCTGTTGCACATTAGGTTGTTCTTAGCCTTTCTCTGTGATAGTGACCTGGACACATGCCTACTCGGGCCAGCAAGCCACATACATTTAGCCAGGCTGTCCAAGTAATGCGTGAGACTACGAGCTGCAAAAACTCTTGCCAAATGGAGCCTCGTTATAATTTTTAACTCTTTGTTAGTCAATACAGATTTTATTTTTGATTACTATTAAGGTTCCTTAAAATGTTTGGTGTCTGTGCAGCTCTTTGTTTGGGAGGGGAGGTAATCTGTACATCCTTTGTCCGTATTTTTTTCCCTTTTGGACTGTTGGCTCCAGGTTTATGAGTCCTGTGCCCCGTTCCGACCCTAACTGCCATTTGCCCTGTAGCGTGCCTTCCTCACCTGTGAGTTCCGTGCGTGGATCTGTTCATGGGTGAGCGCCGGTACGATGCCGCCAGTGTGCCGCAGCTCTGGGGAAGCACGGGGCCTTTCAGTTTCTGCAGACCTGCCACTGTCTTCTGCAGTCTTTGCACACAGCAGGAGCTTAATTGGTCCTCTGGAGGTCTTGCAGGCCCCTTCCTCATGCCTCTTCTGCCCAGCATGGTTTTCTTCTGGACAAGTCTAGGCTTTTTCTTACCAGGTGGCGTAGCCGTCTTTCTGTAGCCAAATCACTGACGTCACGCTGCAGTCCCGCCTCGTCTCGGGGTATCTTTCATGTTGGCCAGGAATGTCCAGGCTGCCCCACGCCTTCCTGCCTGGTATTTACGGGTCATCGCCTTGGCTGAGTTCACTTTTAAAAGGAGCACTTGGTGGGTTTTGCTGCGGGAAAACGTCACCAACTGCACCCTGTCGGGTAAGGCGTCCGTTAACTTGTCTTTTGGTTTTCTTTCTTTTTCCTTTTCAAAAATGAACTGTACATGCATCATGTCCTAGAGAAGTAATTCTCAAACTTTCTGAGTCCCAGAATCTCTTAAAAATGATGGAGGATCCCAAAGAGCTTTTGTTCATGGGTGTCATATTGATTCCCATACATTGTATTAGAGATCAAAATGGAACATTTTAACCACAGAATTACCCAGTTTATTAATTAGACGCCAGAATGAGGGCATCATCACGCATCACATAGTTTCTGGGAGCTCTGTGTGCATCCACGAGACAACAAAAGTACCTTAGAGAAAACCTTGGACCCGTGGACTCTGTGGACCCTGTAAACTGGAGCGAAGGAACCACGCGGTTCTCAGACCACAGCTCTGAGAACTGCTGTGCTGAAGGGTGTTTCTCAGGCTGCCTGCCTTATTCGCTAAGCTCACGTTTGACATTTTTGCCGGCCTGTGTGTGTTTGCGTGTTTTCACACATCTGTGCGGTGTATGTGGAGGGGGGGCTGGGAGGAGAGGGGCCTTTGCTGAGTTGAAAGTTAAGGTCTAAGGCAGTATTGCTCCCCTGAAATGCACGGGGACGTCCTTGGCACGGCCGTCGGCCGTCCCTTGGAGCTCCGCAGAGTCTTCAGCAGCCTCTGTTGTGCGCCGTCCCTTCCCCTGAGTCACATTCTGGCCGTCGGATTTTAAACGGGGCCAGGAATGGCCCGGGTAGGCTGATGGTGCTGGGGTGGCCCCCAGAGAGGGCTGGCCTCGCAGGCCCCTCACCTGCTACCGTGGCATCTCCCAGAACCTGCGAATGGGCTGCTTTTCCTGAAATTGCATGTGGTTGGTTGGTTGTTTGAATAAGGCCTGTAGTTTTCATCGTATTCTTAAAGGAGTCCCCTAATTTCTCGCTGTAGCTTAAGGTAGGGGCAGGCCTTAGGGTGCCTGGGGAGTTGGGAATGTATCGTGGTTGAAAGGGCTTAAGAGAAACAGCATGTTATACAGAACTCGGTATATAAATCAAATGTATATGGATCCTGCATGAATAGATCGGTGCGTGTCTTGCACAGAAGGGACACACGCAGCTCTTCTTAGGCTCAGCGTGGCTGCCTGGTGCCCTGGACGTCTGGGCAGGTGTCGTCATCTTAGCTGGGGCCCAGCGCGTTTCCTTGCTCAACCTGCTCCGAGACAGGTTTCAAGACCTACAGCGAACGAAACCTGCCTCGAAATGGTCTGCATCGAATCCCGCAGTCCTTTGATCGACGCTGTGGACTTTGATTGGCAGTACATTGGCTTGAAGGGAGTAGGTTTTAGAATTTGCCACCTGAACCCACATGCTCTGCGGGACCGTATTTTTCTAAGGATTGTGTCCCCTGTTCTCAGACCCTGAGTAACTGTGCTCCTCTCTCTGCGCTGTCCTCTAGAGTCGCTGTAAGGAAGCCCTGCTGGAGTGCCAGACCTAACGGGGGCCGTCTGCCCGACTGCGCCAGACTCCGGCAGCGGGACCCCCGATGGCAGTGGGCACCTCCCCGTGAAACCTGCCAAGCTGGACGCCACAGCTCTGCACGACGACACTTCGGCCCACTCTGTGCCCTCCTCGGAGGTGTGCAGCCATGCAGTCCTAGCCTGCAGCCCGGGCATCCCTGAGGAGCACTATGTGAGCGAGGCTGTGGAAGATGCTCCCAGCTGCAGAGGGTACCGGGATGCCTGTACCATCACAGGTACGGGGGCCCTTCCCTGCCGGGACAGAGGGAGGGGCCGGGCAGGACAGGGGAAGGGTGTGGCTGCAAGAACCAGTGTCAGGGAGGAACCTGGCGGGTGGGGAGGGACCACCAGAGTCTGAGCTTTGGGATGGTGAGACCCGCCATCGACAACCAACCGGCCTGAGATGAGGGCAGCACCTCATAAAATTGTCATGAAGGTTGAAGATGGGCACGTTGAACCCCACGCAGCGTGCATGGCCATCACGGTGCTCCGCATAGTGTGGCCCCACCCCCCACCCGCCTCTCTGAGGCTCAGTCTCTTCAGATACACGATAGGTGTCATGCAAATGAGACGCCGTGTGTGTAGGACACAGTAATGGAAATGACACACAATGTCTTTGTATGCTGTCAAGAGTTGCACACACATCGGTTCTTACGGGTGCCTGTGTCAGTCACACCTTCCGGGGTCCCAGGACCGGAGTCAGTCACCCCGCCGTGTGCTGGCAAGGTCTGCTGTGCAGCCCATGGTGCTAGAACTCTTGGTTGTTTCTGTCCCCCACGGGACCATTGGGACAGAGCTCGGGGCAGCCTGACAGGGGCTCAGGCAGAAATGGTGCCGGTCGGGTGGCGTTCAGAAGAGCAGCCGGGGCACAGTGACAGTTAAAGCCGGTGGTGCGCCTAAAGAAGTTTGCTTTGTTTCTCATTATTGTCTGTGGTGTTTGCTTTTGCCCTCCTGTTGGAAAGCCTGCCCCCTGGCAGTTTAAAATAATGCCCAGTGACAGTTTCAAACAGGCGCCTTGACTTCCGGTTGCTTCTCATTGTTCAGTCTCACCCGTGAAGCGCGGAGGAGCCCCGTGTGTCAGGATCCCGGCCTGGGTGCCCTGCCCCTGTGCCGAGTGCCCCTCCCACGGGCGACGGCACTTGGGCACTACATCCCACCCGCCTGCCCCCTCACCGAAGGACCCGGTTCCAACGTCTCACCTCTCTCTACTACAGCATCCATTTCCTTTGCTCATGGACCTTTCCTATTGGCACAAAAATATGCTACGATTGCTCTTTGTTACTATTATTATTATTATTTTTTTTTTGATGACTCTCTTCTAACAAGGCACCCTTCTTGGCCCCTCTTTTCCCAGAGCCAGTGCTCGCTCATGTCTCTGCTCCTTGGTTTCCTGACCCCACTTTCTCTTCTGTTCTCTCCTGCGCCCAGCGTGAGCAGGTTTGTGACCCCACCGTTTCCCCGGCACGGATGGCCCGATTCAGTCCCGGGATCCGTCCTCAGCCTTCACCTCCTTCCCTTTTCAGCAGGAGTTGATGCTGCCAACCACTCCCTTCTCCCAGAAGTCTGGCCCCCCCTTGGCTCTGGGTCCCGACTCTCCCAAGTTCTCCCACCTTGCAGGCTGCCCCTGTCTTCTCCCCAGCGTGGGGATGCGGGCGGGCCCAGGGCTCGGCCCTCCCAGCCTCCCGCTCCCCCGTGTACAGCTGTGCCCTAAGTGACCTCACCCAGCCTCCAGGATTGAAAACCTGCCTCTACACTGACCGCTCTCCAGTTCCCATCTGCAGACTGGCCCCTCCCCTGAAGGCCGGACGTGTTGGTCTGACTGCACGCCATTTTCCCTTGGGTGCCTAGTAGGCATCTCAGACTCCTGATTTCCACCTTCACCCGCTTTCCTGAGGTCTCCCTGCCTTTGTAGATGGCACGTCCTCCATCCATTTGTCCACACTGAAAACCCAGGAGGCATCCAGGACCTCTGTTTTTCTTTCGCACCCCAGTTTGCTGGGACATCTCTTGGTTCCCTCATCCAGAATTTGTCTCTCACCAGCACCCCCGCAGCTACCCTGGTCCAAGCCACCTCCATTTTCCACTTGGATCATTGCAGTGGGCTCCGCAGGGGGCCTCTTGCTTCCCCACCGGCCCATCCTCTGCAGCCAGGAGAGAGGCTTTTCAAGGACAGAGTCAGATGGTTTAACTCTTGTGCTCAAACCTGTAGTGGGCTTCATTCTCACCATGGCCTGAGAGGGTCTAAGTGATAGGGCTCCCCGCCCCTCTCACCTGGCTCCTCTGTGCCTGCTCCACTCTGGGCACACGGGCCTCCCTGCCCGGCCCTGGACACCCATGAGCATCCCTCCGCGGGGCCCTTGTTCTTGCAGCTGCCTGGCACCTGCATCACCTTTAACCCCCGATGTTTTCATGATTCCCTCTTCACTTTCTCCAAGTGGCACTTCCTTAGAAATGAGACCACCCTGCCTAAAGAGGGGTCCCCCTACCTTTCCCCATCTCCCTTTCCCGCTTTACCTTTCTCCCCAGACTTCGTGGTGAGCGACACTTGCAGAGTATAAATAGAACATGAACTGACCTCAGGGCAAGGCCTTTGTGCGCCCCTGTGTCCCAGTGATTGCAGTAGCGCCTGCGTGGGGCCAGAGCTCAGTATACGTTGGTTGGGTAAATAAAATGTCATTTACTTATTGCTGCCTCCACCTGAAGCGGGGACTCTTATCCCCTTTTACAGGTAAAGAGACCAAATCATGAAAGTTCAGCATCCTGCCTTAAATCCCCGAGCTCCGAGGGGCGGTACGTGCACCCGGGCCATGGCACTGGGGCACATGTTCTCTGCCGCCCAGGAGCGCAGTCTAGTCGCGGAGCCGGCTGAGGGAGCAAGTGCAAGCTGGGTGTGCACCGTGGTTAGCGCAGTGATGGCCACGGGCACACAGGCGAGCACCAGGCAGGGTGCCTGGCCAAGCCTTGGAGGGGAAAAGGTAGAGGAAGACCAGGAGGACTTCAAGGAGGAGGCAGTGCACCAGCTGCATCTTCATTTGTCCAAACATGTGCCCTAATCCCTGGGATTCTTGTAGCATCTGTGCCAGTGAAATCCAGGAAACATCCAGCCTGTTGAGGCAGTTTCCCTCTCCCTGAACGTGAGAACTGAAAGCGAAGCAATGGCAGAACTCAGTGCTGAAACCTCAAACTGTATAGGGCGTGGTAACTGAAAGTTCCATGCCGGGACATCTGTGGCAGGCTCCGTGGGACAGCTGAGAAGCAGGGCTCTGTGCTGTCACGTTTGGCAGCGGCTTGGTAAACAGGAGGGTAAACGCAGGCAGCGTGACGTGTTGAAGGTGCCGAGCAGACAGACCATGCACATCACGCTTGGGTTCAAGTTGCCTTAGATGCTCATGGAGAGGACGGCACGACATGAAAAACATTCTCAGAGTGACCGGGAGTATCCCCGAGGGTGCCTATGTGGGCTCCAGCGGCTTTGCCAAGTGCGGTCCTGGGACACCACTTGGCATCCAGCCCCTGATAAATGCACTCCGCCCCCTATTCCCAGGGAGCGCTGAAACGAACAGGAGACTTTTTGTTCCTCTTAAATTTTTCGGCAAAGCCAAGTGCCCGTCACAAAGCCCTGCTCCCCTGCCCCCAACCGGGGGGTATCACATTTTTGGGTGCGTCACCTTCTGTTTGGGGCGGTTTTACAAGATGAGCCGATAGGGTGCTCAGGCGGCCTGGAGTTACGTAACCCATTGTGCGTCCAGGGCAGCTCCCGATTTTAGGATTCGCCCCAACAAGCAAACTGGGAAAAGTGCTGAGGAAGCTGTGGGAGGTGGCGGTGCCGAGGCGCTGGCCGGCCAGCTCTCGTGGACAGAAGGCTCTGCTCTCTCTGAATTGTCTTTGGAGCTGATTTCTGCACATGGCAGTGGTGTTTCAGTTCAGGCAGCCCACGGGGGCCCCGCCTCTGCCGGGACTGTGCCGGGGCGAGCTCATTCGGACAGACTCGGGTGGTGAGTGTGTGTGCGCTTCTTTCGCTGCTGTTTGTTTTCTCTGTGGTGTGGCTGGAAAGGAGAAAGGACCACAGGGGACCTTGTTTCTCTCCTGCTCTGTTCTGCCTGCCAGGTTGTCCTTGGACATGTGCTAGGGACATTGCAATTTTGAATCAGGGACAGGCTGAGCAGAGGGACCTTGGCGGCTGCTCACCCCCTGTCCCCTCACCCAGGTCCCCTCAGAGGGACGCAGGACAGCGAGTCCCAGGGCTGGATCGGGGCCAGGCCTGCCGGACTCCCACCATGTTTCCCCCGACAGTTCTTTGAAACAGCTGAACGGAGGTCTCCGAGTTACCCCTGGCCTCTCCAATTGCCATTTGCCTAATCCTGTGTCTTTTTCCTGGTTTCTTAGAGCCTCCACTGGTGTCTGAGTCAGCAAGGAAATGTGCAAAAGGTGAAGAACAGGGTGAGACAATGTCTCCCTCTTCCCTTCCCCCCTTTCTGCCCTCACTTTTTTTGGTCTTTACTAAACGTGCTCGGCCCTGTGCCCGGCCCCCACACCCCGGCAGAGCCTGCTAACCAGCTCTGCTCTGGCTCGCCTCCCCCCGGGGGGCCGACGTTCCCCCTTGCCTCCCAGAGCTGCCCAGAGCCTGACTGCTGATGGCCCACCTGGTTTCTGTCTTGTCTGTGTGCTGTTGCCCCAGACCTTTCGGGGCCACAAACCAGTGCTTTCCTGGGAGGTGGTAGGAGCGCCTCTTGTCCTGGTGCAGGCAGCTGTAGGTGTCAAGATGTAAGAGACTTTGCATGAGAGAAGATTATGGAGATGCTGTGAGTGTCTTTGTGTGTGGCTTCAGGTTTATTCAGTAATTCTGTCCGACCAGCATCTATTCAACACCAGCTTTTTTTGCTGGGGTCCGTTGAGGAGAACGAGTTTCGCCCCAGAGCCGTGCAGGGGGCCGAGGTGTGAGTGACTAGCTGTGACCCCCAAGTGCACTTCCAGGGGTAGCCCTGCTTGGGTGTCCTCTTCTTCACAGAGCCACTGCCACTTAGGATTTGTTCCTTGTCTCTCGCTGATTTAAGCCATCGAACTCAAGGATTTATCGTCTAAAAACATGCTCAACTAAAACGCTGTGGATTCTTCAAAGACTTAAGTTTAAGGGCTTGTTTATCGATTCCTGTCTAGAATAACATTTTTAATGTGTTTTCCGTAGAAACTTTATCATCTAATTGCTACTTACGCGACTAAATGGAACAAAAGAAGG